AGACCCTGAACACCCTGAAGACCCTTCCCTAAAATACAATAAGTAAATAAAACAAAATAAAATAATAAATAAATAAATAAATAAATAAATAAATAAATAAAAGACCCAAAGGACTTATGTGAGAATACCAGGTCCTGATTCAGTTTTGTCACTAGTTTGTCCTATAAAAGTGAGGCTCTGGAGTCAGGGAGCCTCGACGCTGGAGCCATCTTCAGCAGCAGCCCATCCAGCCCACGACCCCACCAGCACTTTTCAGTCCTTCCACATCCACCTTCCATCCTGCTGTACCCGGATCCCTGGGCAGCTCAAGGCACCTCTGCAATCTGGACTGCAGAGAACTTGGTGTCTTGGGAGCCTCGGGATCCAGGCAGGGTGCACCACACCCGGGGGCACCAGGCACTATCACCCACAGACCACACAGGGAGGCCCAGCCGATGCCCAGGGCAAGGACAGCACCCACAGCTGCTAATGAGTCACGATGGTTTAGGGAGAGCACATCTCTTGGAAACCACTCTAAAACACGCTGACATACAAGCGCCTAAGAGTCCTGGATGCCGCCGTGCCTTGTACTCCCCTGCTTTGCTAAAATGGTTTTTCACATGAATTTACATTCGCTCCTGGATGCGATCGGGCATCGCATCTCAAGACAGATGTAGCTCTGTGCCTCGGGTTAAGGAGGAGGTCAGAACCTGTGAAAGGTCCATCACCCCAGCGGGGCTGGAGGAGAAGGAAACGAATAAACTATGGGAGGTCTAGTGTGCAAAATACAGCAAGTGCTTACAAACAGCAGCCACCGACATTCTCAGAGTTAAGCAGGACTGTTTGGCAGATCTTTTTAGATGTTTAGTCACCAGGCAGTGACAGTCCACTGGTTCAAGCAACGAGATCTCACATGGCTGAAGTCTTCTCTCGTGGAAGAAACTGCTTGAGGAATGAAGAGGAATGCTTTCGGTGGGCGCTGCTCTCAGAGCGCCTGGGGCAAGGTGGGAAGACTGACCTTCACCCCCGAGGACGGACAGGAGGAGGGGGACCTCCAGCCTGCGGGCTGCCCAAAGCCCCTGGTGATAAGAGCTAGGTCACCTCGAGCAGGGCTTGTGGTCGTTGCTTTGGGAGGAAGGAATTTCTTTTCCTCTCAACTACTGCCAAAATCCCTAAATTCACAGTCTTCCACATTCCCAAACAGCTTTAAATCACAGCTGTGGAAGTCCCAAAACATGTTCTTTGCTTACTAACATGACTACCTCCTCGCTGCAAAGTGAAGACTGTGCCAAATGAACATCCACCCAAAGCAGACAAGCGCAAGTCCGGTCTCCATGAGCTGCCTATGCGGAGATAAATTCAGGAAGAAAAATGGAAACTCCTGGTAGAGATCTGTAAGGGATTACCTAGAATTCAATCATCTGGGCTCAACCAGCGCTCATTTGCCTAAGACCCCAAGGCTGTACTTCGGTCCAGACCAGTAAGCCTGCCCGGGTGGGGAGCTGTTTTTCTAAGCCTCTGCCCAGCATTAGCTGAGAGAACATGAGGGCTATGGGGAGCCTGGGAGGTATCCCCATTGGGTCTCGCGCCTGGCACCATGGCCAACAAACACTGGTCAGCCTCAGCAGTGCAGGGCTGCCCCATGGCACACACCGTACCCCAGGGTGGGTTTCTGGAGATGCACCGTCGTCCCACATCCCTGGAGCTGTGGACTCCTGAGGTCCCTCTGCATAGGACGCTGCCCTGCATGTCAGCAGACCAGCTGTACCTCATGCCTACAGGAGCTCTGGGGCCAGCACACCTGGCAAAGGAGAGACAGGCTTCAAGCTGAGTACTGTTCCATGCCCTAAGTCTACCCTGCAGTCACTCAAACCTGTCTATGGATATTAGACTCTATATATTAATGTTAAATTTAGATATATGCATCTTGCTGGAAAAAAAAAAAGTGGTTCATGGTTTCAATTTGGGTATTCATGAGGACACAGGCCTGGTTAGACCTGGTTACCAGAGAAACATCACTGCCAGCTTCCTCCCTGACACCAAGCACTATGATGGGAGAATCCAGGGGCTCTGGGACAGCAGGTAAGAAATCTGGCTCTTCTGTACCAGCTGGGACCCCACCCCAGCACCAGGGTCTGGAGCAGAGTTTCCAAAGAGAGGCCAGCTCTGGGTCAGAGCCATTAGGGTCAGGAGATGATCAAAGGGGACATTTAAAGGCTTAGCATGGGATAAAGGTGGTGAGGAAAGGGGGAAGGGGAGAGATTTCCCTGGAACTATTTGGATCCTCAGGTCTTGCTGTGGGGTCCCAGCACTCAGCAGACACATGAATTCAGGCAAATTTCTGTCTGTCGGGGTCCTAATCCCACACTGATCCAAAGATCCAGTGAGATAACCATGGCTTTCTGAGAAAGAGTACCCATTGTATCTGTGGGCCCCTGGGGAGGGTGGACACCAGCCCCAGCCTTCTTCACCTGAGCACACGCTCTATGAAAGGGCTACTGGTCTCCAATCAAAACTGGGAAGTCAAGACTCCAGCCATGTACTTATCACGTGTCTCACACAGGTCTTCAATTGTCTAGCTTCATCTTTAATTTTTTAAAAAAATTTTTTTTATTTATTCAGTATAGGGTCTCGCTATGTGGCTTGGACTCATAGTGGTCCTCCTCTCAGCCTCCCCAGCACTGGGATTACAGGTATGCACTACCACACCCAGTTTCAGAGCAGGTATGGCACCCCTGGGGTTCCAGGGCTGGCATGGCATGCACTACCGGGGATCAAACCTGGGTCCTTATGCTTGCCAGGCAGGTGCTTTGATTGCTGAGCTATCTCCCCAGCTCTGTCTAGCTTCACATTTATAGTTCCATATACATTCTCTCTCATTCACAGAAGAAAAAAAAACTTTTTTTTTTTTTTTCCAGAACTGGGGATTGAATTCAGACCCTTGTGCTTGCCAGGCAAGCGCTTATTCTACTAAGCCATCTCCCTACCCCCCCTCCCCTTTTTGGAGAAACCAGGGATTGAACTCAGGCCCTTGTGCTTGCCAGGCAAGTGCTTATTCCACTGAGCCATCTCTCCAGCCACAGAAGAAACTAAAGACTGATTTTTTTCATTCTATACATATAGGGGGGTTGTGTTCTAGGCTCTGAGGCCCCAGCGCTAAACAAGACAGCCAGGAGTTCTCAGGTAATTGAACTCATTGTACATCTTGCTAATTATCAGGTAACCCATAAAGGAAGCTAAGTTCCACTCATTCTCACCAACTGCATTCAGCTACCACCCCCAGGACAGCAGCAAGGCCTGACTCCCCTGCTTCTGAACTGAACCACCAAGACATGGACTTCTCCAGATGCCTAACACTCGCTATCTCAGCCATTCTGCTTATGCAGGGAAGAATGGGGGATCATGGTGAACCTACAGCCCTGGCCAGGAATGCCAGACAGAGGAAGCTAAGTAGGTACAAGTGAAGAGAAAAGCAATATGGGTCGTGGGACGGAGGGACAGCTGCTCCCCATGAGGCTGACTCCCCCTTCCCAGCAGCAGACAACTCTAAGCACTGCTCCCATTGACACCCCATAGAACTGAGTAGGAGACTTATCTGCAGAGGGTCTCAGCTGTTCTCCTAAGAGGCCTCCTCCTCTGCCACTGGATCGAATAGTGACCTCCTCACAATTCATGCCCACCCAGAACCCTAGAATGTGACTATGCTCACAAATAGGGTCATTTCAGACAAAATTAATTATACTATAATGACTTGTCATTGGATTAGGTAGTACACTCACAGGATGAGGAAACAGTCCCAGATCCGGGGACAATGTGAGGACAGAGTGAGGGAGCCCAAGACTGACAACACCCACCAGAATCCAGGAAGCAAGAGGGGCAGAGCCTCCTCTGGAGCCTTCTGAGTGAGGGAGAGTGTTCCTGCCAGCACCCTGACCTCCAATCTTGCCTCCTGGGTGGCAAGGGAAGCCCTCCAGTTTGTGGTACTCGGTGCGGTAACCCCAGGAAACCTGCCCACTCCCCTCTTCACACCTGCTCCCCACACCGCACTTGCCCTTTCCCCCTGCCCTGGGCCTTGGCCTCCCCCAGCTCTGCGTGCTTCCTGCTGCCCCTGGTCCCTCTCTCTGGCAGGCAGGAAGCAGCGGTACAGGCGCAGCACTTCAGCTGCCCACCTTCTGGGCAGTTTTTGTTTTCTCCCTCAACCCTTCAGTTCTGTAGTCTTTTTCAGTAAGTGTTTCTTAACTTTCAATCCTTCAGTTTCCTCACACATGCACACACACTTCACGGGCTCCCCATTCGCCTAATATTTCATTACATTGAGTGATTACTTTTAATAAACAGATTTATTGTAGGCAAGTGCCCTACTACTGAACCATACCCCTAGCCCAATAGACTTACAGCGGTACCTCAGTTCACAAACTGAATTCTTTCCGTGATTTTGGTCGAAAACCTGGTTGGGCAATAACTGAATTAAATTCAAAGATTAGGTTCAATGTTGAACCTAATTAAATTAGGGGAAATTTAATTCGGTTCTTGTCCAATTCCCTTTACGATCAGAATCATGGAAAGAACTAAGTTCATGAACCATGGTATTTTAAAAGGTATTTTATCATTACTATCATGAATGGAAAATCCACATTAGTTAGCTTATGTAGAAATCCACCACCTTTTTTTGGTATCGCGAATCAAAGTCAGGACCTCGTGCTTGCCTGGCAGGTACCTGAGCCTCTGAGCTATAAGTCCGACCCCGCAACCTTAACAATCCGTTCCTATACCATTTAAAATTTCACCAAAGTGGCAATACTACGGGAAAATTGGGGCTCTGGGCTCATCAGAAGAGGGGCCTTCAAGTTTCCCAATCTCGACCTCCGCCCCTGTCCGGGGCACTCCGGGAGGAGGTGCAGGCCAGTGCGAGGAAGGCGCCGGGCGTTCCGGGCCCTCACGCGGGGCGATCTGAGGACGCGGAGTCAGGAGCGAGCCCGAAACACCCAGTTCCGCGAGTGACAGCACCGGGAGGGACTGACCTTCTCGCGCAGAGTGCAGTGGACGTCCGAGGCGACGCGCCCTTCCCACCAGGGCTCATCCATCACCGCGACTGCAGCGCCGCGCCGCGCGGCTACCGGGGTCTCGGGGCGCCCCCTGAGAGGACACAGCAACTTCAGCGCCCGTGCGACCCGCGCCCGCCGGCCCCCTCCGCGCCCGCCCGGCCGGGGGCTCGGCCTCTCCTCCCCCCGGGTGGCCGGCGGGGCCCCCTCCGCTGCGGCCGCGCGACCCGCGGAGACCTTTCTCGTGCAGGGCGATGGGCGACAACTTGCAGGTTTTGGCTCTTCCCCACGGCAAAAGTTCCGGGGAAAGTTGCCGGTTCCGCGGGCGCGCCCGGGCCATCCCCGACTCCTCCCCCGCCGCCCAGCCTTTGTCCGGCTCCCACATCCTGCCCTCGAGCCGGGGCGAGACTCACGCATCCCTCTGCTGGCGCGGGGCTGCGGGCGCCGGTCGTCCCGGCCGAGCCGCTGCGCCCTCCGCGGCCTCCGCGCCCCTCGCGCCC